GTGCATGTGTGTGTTTGCGCTTGGATTCTCACAAACACCAAAGCACAAATTATTAGCCAGTTGTTGTACCTGCGTGCAGTGGCAGCACTCAAGTTGTATACCAGACTTCACAATAAACCCTGCTACTAAGGTGGCAGGTAGACACCTCTTAAGTACTGTAATTTCCAGCTTTATGATCACCTTTAAATTGAAGCAATCATCCGGTGGCCCCAGCGAGTGAACGGCGGAGCGAGTGAAGCTAGACATTTAATCTGGTCATTTCCAAAGGTGGCAGTAAGTGACTGTACAGTGGCACGGTGGCTCACATCAGGCACAAAATGGCCGTCCTCAGGTTGGATCCTGCTGGGCTGCTCTCACACATGCAAATGAGCCTCAGCCAATAATGAGATCTTTAGGAGCTCGATAATTAGATTTTTCCCTTCTCTCTGAGGGAGAACGGCGGAGGCAGACAGGGTGAGCGGGAAGACTTCTTTTCGTGTCTTGACTTCTCTGGAGAAGCCTTGGTCTGCGCTGACAAGCTCCCCCCTCCTCCTTCAACCCCCCCCCCTTCTCCAATGCCTTCCCCATCATATTTCTCTTCTTTTCTTTATTTATAATAGAGGGGAGGATCTGAGCGGAGAGCAAAAGAAACTCTGAGATTGTATCTGCTTTTTGATTGGTTGTTCAGAGATGGTCTGTGTGTTTGGCTGGCTGTATGAGATGGTATCAATCCACTTTGTGTGTGTGTGCATGTGTGTCACACTGTCATGTGTCACATTCAGAAGGAACTCGACAATAGCTCAAGTCTCCAGACAGGCAATTGCAGGAAAAAAAATTGATTGTGCGCAACAAAATTGCAGCTACAGTTGCTGAAAAGCACAAAATATTTTCACAAGTGGTTATTTAGTGGTAGTTTTAGTAATAATTGACACTGGAAGCAGAAGCATAATTTTCGGCAGGGAGAAATAATTCTACTACTAATAATAATGATGGTTGAAAATGATATCAATTTAAATGAGTCTGAAAATTGCACAAGTTGTGTTTTAGATCTTGTCATTCTGTTGCATACATTTGAAAAACATATCAAACCCTTCTCAGTTAGGAGATCATGCAAGCACGGTCTGCCTCCTGTCCTTTGTAAGACATTAAAGATATCTTACCCTCTGCGGAATTTGGATAATTTCACACTTTAGATATGTGTTTGTAGGAGGTGTTGGACATAATTGGCCACAGTTACCCTAATTGGTTGTGGCACAAGTGCTACTGAGAGAATTGGTGGGCACACAGTTGGCAGACAAAGTGGCAATTGGCGGATTACCCAGCATGATACGTAGCATGCCTCCATGACCTGCCACACATTCTCCACAATAGGCACACTTGGCACACTCTCGTACACTGGGTGGGCACAAGCAGACACATATGCACCACTTGGCAGACACACGCCTGGCACACTTAACACACTGGCACTTGGCATGCACACATACAGATTAACGCACGTGCTTGGCTGCAGCCCTTACGTATGTAATTGAATAGCGCGGTGTCCTGTTTTCATGTATTATTGAGGAGCTCGTTTAATTAGGAAAAAAATGAAAAGACTCATTAGAGATATGTTAATTAGCTTGGCTCTCTGCTCTCTGGAGAGGGCTGACACCAGCACCGTGGGATGGAGGCAAGAGAAGCAGCGACGCAGGGGAAGACGGGAGGAGGAAACTGAGTCATGTCACTCTTAAAGCACAGATTTTATTTCCCTGGAACTACTTTTAATCAGTTTTGCGATCCTCATTCGCTTGTGTGTTTCTCTGTGTTGCTCAATGTTTTCTTTCCCGCAGCTTCCCTTATTTGAATTACTGTGCTGTAGGTTGGTGAAAAACGACTAAACATAAAGATTGAGGCAGGGTTCAAAGTCTTTTAACTAATCAACAAAAGTATGTGGAAAGATGAGTGTTTAGCCCCCCAGAGTCTGCGGAACTGAAGTAGTTCCTTCGCTCGTTCTCTTTTATTTCCTTTCAAAGTGTTTTTCCCAAAGCACTCCTTTTGTCCACTCAATGAAAGTGCTTAGTTGGCAGTTTCTCTTATTTGATGTAGAGGGAATTGTGGCTGTGTGTGCACACAATTTGTGTGCAGGTTCGTGTGTGTGTGTGTGTGTGTGTGTGTGTTTGGGGGGGTAGTATGGAATCCTGACAGTTTGTGAAGGGTGTATGGGAGGAGGCTGAGCAGCCAGTGGATTGGGTTTTGCTCTGGGCAGAGGGGTGGACAGACAGAAGAGAAGGATGGAGAGGAAAGGTTTGGGTCTGGCCACTGAAGTGTGAAACTCTTATTTTGTGATTTGAAACATGAGTGAAATCAGTAATGAAATATGGTCGATAACGGCCTCTCACACTTCCCAATGAAGTGCCCCAAGTGTGTGTACGTCTGTGTGTGTGTTTCTGGAAATGTGTTGTCATTTTTATTCTGAGGCACTGGGGCGTTAGATGGAGGGAGTCAGCGGAGGAGGAGGAGAGGCTGGGGGAGGGGGGATTATCCACTTGAACTTGCTGGTCTTTCACTGTCCTCTCTGAAGTTTTTTTTTTTTTTTCGTTCTTTTTTTTTTTTCATTTGTCTGGCCCCTGTCAGGGAGAGCTGTGTTTCGTACGCTTCCACATACATTGTGTTTGTATATGAGTCTCGGCTCCAGGACTGTAACTCGCTCTTCACTTTCCATCTCTTGTTTGTTGCTGTTTCTCTTTTCATTTTGTGTGCTCAAACAAAACAAAAAAAACCTTTAAGAAGACACATTCTTAGACCTACAGATTTACAGTTATATCATAATGATTACAAATATGTGAAAACTGCTTCATGCCAGCTGTGAGTAACAAACTTCAGCTCACTTCTACAACTTCACAATTAAATAAAAAAAGATCACGCACAGTTAAACCGTTTTAACAAAAAAAAGCATCATTACCTTGAAGTATGGTCTATACTTTCATAGTTTGCCGAAAATTAAATAAACACTGTATTTTATTGGTTTATGCACGACCCGCAAATGCATTAAAGGAAATGAATGAA